TTGGTCCCTGACCAGCTGGCACTGATGCTAAAAATCATTCTGGAAATGGATGTAAGAATGGATCAGAAGAGACTTGAAAATCCATCTGTTTACACATTTATTGACCTGTAAAATGGGACTATAGATGTGGAAACGCCTTATGAAGAGGTACAGAATGTAAAGTAGTCATTAAAACCCTATACAAAGATAAATGTGCTGTCATTCTTTATGCAGCTGTGTATCGACAAACATTTTATCGTTATATGAAAACCAGTTACCAAGCCTACACCTATAGACCCATGCAAACGTTCCCAACAAGGACAAGTTCTTCCTCCACAAGGTGAGACCTGATGCTCCAGTCATCCACTCCCAGGTGTAACAGCAAGCATTCTCGAGCCAAGCATCTGTTCCATCCCTCAGACAAGATGGAACCATTGTCAGGACCATTACAAAGATCTGGGTTCAGGCCCAAATGGGCTGTTCTTAATACCCATCCTCATCCTAAGAATTATGGCTTTCTGAACACAAAAGACCATGTTCTTTGTCTTCCTATTGAAGGTTTGAATCTCATATGGAGGTAATACTCCAGGGAGAGATCACTGGGTTCCACGCTTACCTGATCATCAGCTACCTGGGTATTTATTAAAAATAAAATCTCAGCCACTTTCCAGACCTACTAAGTCATAATCTCCAAGGGAGGCCTTTGAAATCTGAATTTTTAACAAATATCCTAGATGTTCAACAATATGATGCAAGTTTAGTAAAAACCAACATAGAACATAGTTCTATCTAGTCAAACCAATGACTTTTACAGAGATCTTTTAGTCTGCTTGGGCTTCCATAACAAAATACCATAGACTGGTGGCTTAAGCAACAGAATGTATTTTCTCACAGTTCTGGAAGCTGAAATCCAAGAAGAGGGTGCCATCCTGGTCAAGGTTTGGAGAGGGCCCTCTGCTGGCTTGCAGACCACAGATTTCACACCTCTTCCTTGCGTGAAGGAGAGAGAGAGAGAGAGAGAGCGAGAGAGCTGTCTGGTGTCTCTTCTTTTGAGGGCACTAATTCCATCAGAAGGGCCCCCTACTCATCAAATTCTCATTACCTCCCAAAGGCATCACTTTGGGAACTAGGGCTTCATCTAACATAGGAATGGAAGGGAGTGAACAAAAATTTAGTCCTTAACAAGTAGCAGTGGGGGTTCATCCCTTCAAAGGGGAAGATGTTCAATTGAATTGGATCTTTGCTCACAGCTTCTGCTTTTCACTAACCTATGTAAAACCACTTTACATGAACCACAAGCATGAGCAAGCTGTGAGTCCATTGTTTTGGCAACTTAAAATGAACAAAACCTGATGATTTAAAATAATCAGACCCAGAACAAACAGAAGAGATAAGAGAGAATGAGTGTTACCAGGCATTTTTGGTTGTTAGTGCAGTTAAGCACTAAATTTAGCTCTGGACCTGCTGATAGACCAGGCCAAAGGAGAAAATGCGTTTGTTAATTGTCTTTTCTATTTCACGCATGTTAAATTCTGAGTAGAGTCCCAGCTTTTACTTACTCCTGAACAAAAACTGCTATTCCCAAGCTTATGCCCTTTAAATATGAGAAAAGTCACTCTTTTTCTCCAAAGAACTTAAAATTTTGTCTCAACGCATTTCCAACTTATTAGAGAAGCAACACTAGCCCTACCAAAAAGTACCCAATGGGGAAATCTCCCTCCCCAAACATCACCAAGAACCTGATGAGAAAAATAACACATTTTACAAAATCTGCTGCTGAGGCTTTTTGTTAGATCAAAAGATTTTTTTTACTTTTTAATAATTCAGGTAGCCCTAGAGATCCAGCCACTTTCCAGACATTGCTCTGCAAGGAAGAACTCAGAAAATCACTGGATTTATCCCATTAGGCAAATTCAGTTAATCAGCATCTCTGTGACAGCAGGAGGACAGCTAGATGTGGCAGAAGAGCCCCATGTCTCAGGCCCAGCTCTGCCATAAGCTGATTGGCTGGGTTCCACTGAGCAATTTCTTTGCCCTCTCTAAGTCCATTGTCATTACCAGTTCAACCACAAGCTCTTGAGCATCTAAAATGTGCCACACACCGTATCCAGGTGAAGTACCAGCCCTGCTTTCAAGGATTCCACAAACTGGAGACAAGGAAGCTTTCCATGCTGTAACACAACTGTCACTTTCCTTGTGTGGGTGCCTTGTCTCTGTCCCTCACTAGTTTAGCACATATATCCAAAACAAGTGAGTGAGTGAGTGAGTGAAACAGAAAGGTAATCTAAATCTAAGCACCTTATTTTCCATTACTACTCTTCTTGGAACCTGTGACTCACACCCAAGTGATCCATTTTCAGTTTGACCTTTCTTAGCCTTTAATCCTCAAGAAAACCTCATTGACTGACTGTAATCTACCCTTTCGTTCTTCTCTGGAAGTTACTCAGAATCTACTTCCTTCTGCCATAACACCTCAGAATGCTTCCTATACTCAAAATACAACAGACAGTCATCGAACACATCACAGGTCAGAGAGCAGTGCTGGGATCTTTGCACCCCACGGCTCCAGGGAGCGCTCTGCATATCTCCTGTATGGCTTCATTCCTTTGACTAGCATTGCTCAGGTACCAGAGCAGCCAAAGTGGCACCACGTGCTTCCCAAGAGAGTTTTACCTCAATAAGTGCTGCCTATTTCTCTCACTCACTACCTTATGCTAATCCCTCGTACAATAATGGTTAACTAAGATAGCTATTTGGGGTATAAGACTAACTTAAATTTTCTACACACTTAAAAGCCCACGAATCCCAATGCCTAGAGGGATCCACCATTATTTGAATAACTTTCTGTTTCTCCAGAAAGCATGGCTCAAAAAATAAATGTTAAAAATAAAATAAACAGCATTTGAATATCAAGCTCAAGTTTAAAAACACTTGTACATATGTGATTTCAGTTCAGATTCATAATGAACTTGAGCCTCAGGAGACCACAGGTTTTACGGTATGGCAGAGTTGACATTTGTGTCAAAGTCCCAGAGTGTGACCAGAGGGAGCCATATGGTCTCATTTGGTCCAATCTTCATTTTAATAGAAAGCTATAAATGTAGTCTTTAAGTGTTAGCACCAATGCCATTAAACATAATTTACAGAGATACTTCATCAGGAGCAAAAGGAAAAAGTGTCCATTACTCAATTCTAAATTTTTATATCACTTGCATCACCTGTTTGGGCACTGTCATCTCAGTCTACTGAGAAGCTCAAAGGAAGCTGCTCAGGCCTCTCTCAAACTCATAAAGCTCTGACAAACTTCATTTTTTCAAGTGACACCATTAAAAACGTTGCTTACTTACTGCCCCTTTCCATCTTGAAATAAAGGTGGCTGGATTTTCCTAGATTTACACTTCAGTTGTATGTATACCTTGCCTTCTGCAGCTTCCTGAAGAGCACTTTTGTTGGCCTATGCGTGCCATAAACCCTAGGAAGATCACATGCCTCGTGTGCCCCAGCCTGGGAGGGCCGTCAGCCCACCTGCAGGAAGGAGCCCTGCACACTGCGATTTCCACAGAACCCAGCTGATCACTGTGTATAACTTTGCCCAGTAAATTATCTTCTGTGGGCGATCATGGTAGTTTCCATACAGCAAAGGGAATCTTTGGATTATTTAAAATCATATTATCTCCAGGTGTCAGTTCCTTCATCCATAAAAATGAGGGAACAACACACTAATGAAAATTAATTAATACAAGATCAAAGGCTGTCCAGATTTGCAGATACACTTCCGCTGGGCTCCACAGCGCCCCATCTGAGAGGAGGAGTTAGACTTTGCATTGGCAGTTGGAGCTGCAGACTCTCGTAGATAATGGATTTTCCTTTCAGTCCTTCTCTTCCTATCACCAGTAGACCATGCTCACCACCATCTCCTGCTCTGCTGTCCAATGATTTGTAGCCAGGGGCAACTTATTCCTGGTCCCCTCTGGGCTGCATCCTCTGTGCCCACCTGCTCAGGGCACAGCAGGAAGGACAGCGTGCTGCTGTCCAGTGTGGGCAGCTCCTGTGGAGGAATTGCCAAGATCTTCTACACCTCAAGTGCCTGGGGGTAACTAGATCTTCACAAGACAACGGATGTTAACTGCTTTCCAATTTTTTCCTGTTCCCTTTTTATTAAAGCTTTTTCAGAAAGTTGATGAGGTGAAATATTCTCCACCAGAGAAAAATGATATGAAGCTTTAAAGTCATTTCTGATGGAATGATGAAATAATCCCACTACTTTTCTTTGAGCAAAAAAAAAAATGATGATAACAATAATAATAATAAGGCAACTTTAGGCAGGCCTCTGGGGATTTCATTATCGCTAGATTGGAATGAAACGTAATGGCTTTAGATGAACAGGTTTTTCTTTTAACTGGTTAGGGCACTTTGGGATGAGGAGATGAGAAAGATAGGTGCTAGACAATGAAATAAACCTGGCACTTATTTACATAATTTTGTACAGAAATGCAGTGATGGATGACGTATAAAGTGAGTTGAGTAGTAGAAATAAAGTATTTTGGAAAACAATCTGTGTTGACTACCCGACTCTAAAATTACTGAGCATTTTCTGAAATATCTCTTGCTTCTTTGTGAAAATGAGTGGTGGCTTAAGCTGAGAGTGTGTGTGCAGGACTGTGTTAAGGAAACAATCTTTTCTGCTACTGTTCAAGGTAATTCTTAAGAATGCCTTCTCTGAGCAGAAGAGGCATGGGGTGAGGGAGGGGACGGGAAGAGGCACATTTGCACCTTTCTCTGACACGGCATGGACCTTTCACCATTTCTTCATGATTAAAGCCTATCAGGAGGCCTGGAGAGGTCTGTGAAGCAAAGATTATAAACAGCAATTTTTGCAGGCCAAATTGCTTTCTAAATGAGGGAGCAGGAGATTTAAAGGTGAACATAACTGTCTCTTTGGCAGCAGGTGAAGGTTTGTGCTGTCTGAGAAACGAACCTCTAACTTCCTCTGGACTAGTGTTCCTTAACAGGCCTTGCAGATATCTGAAACCAATTTTAACCCACTCCGGCCCTCCGCTGACCACCACGCTACCTGAATGGTGCGGTCCAGTTTCCAGGCTGCTCACCAGCGCCCAGGCCTTTGGGGTGAGTAACTATCCCACATGGTGACCACTGACGAGCCCGGGAAACTCGGGGCTATTACTAGAGCAGGGAGCATTTTTAAATTTACTGCACCAAGAAGCATTTTCTTTCTCTTTCAGTTGTTGCTGATGTTAGCTTATTCTTCTTTTAAAAATGCAATTTTTTATTGTTACCAATATTTTTAACCATAAAATGAACTTAGAAAGTGTAAAAGAAGAAATGTGTCCTCACAAACTGCTGTGTTTCAAGGTTTTGAATATTAGGCCTGTGCTATACAGCTCAAGGGAGTGGAATAAAAATGCTGAGAAGCAATTAGGGTCTTTACCAGCAAATCAGAGTCAGGGAATTGGAGGAGGACAGTCTCAGGGTTGGAAGTTCTTTTAGAGGCTGTCCAGCTGGCTGTCCCCATGCATAAATCTAGAAAACCATGTCTCAGACATATTCAGGGCACAAAAGCCTATGACTGTTTCTCAAAGTGTGGTCTCCAGACCTGCAGCCTCAGAGTCACTTGGGAACTTGCTAGAAATTCACAGTCTCAGGGCCCAACCTCAGAAACTTTGAACCTGGGGCCCCACAATCTGTCTTTTAACAGGCTCTCTTGATGCAGGCTGAAGGTGAGAACCACCACCAGCTAGGGCCACCCTAGCTGGCCCTCATTATACCAGTAGTTCACGTGGTCTTCCCCAACATAGTGGAATCAAAGTTGAGATCCCAGCTGCCTCCTTCAATGAAACTTCTGAATGAAGAAGACTATTAATGGCCATGTCTAGTTAGTTTCTACCGTTACCCACTGTGGTGACTTCCAACCATTTCTAGTCTTGAGACGCTCATCCCAAGAACGTCTTGAGAGGACATGCTTTTAAGATCAAATATAACAGAAATTGTTTTGTGGAGTATTACAAAACCAACAGGTGCCCCTCCTCCCTGCCCTGAGGTCACAAAACTCAGCTCCCTCCTGGTTCCTCTCAACCCTACTGGATCCCAATGGAGGGATCCCATCGGATTCCATTTTCACTCCCTTAACCCAAGGAAGTGCTTCATTGGCAGGTGCTCTGACAGCTCTTGCCTTGGCATGGAGACCAGTTTTCAATATTGCCTCAAGGAAATGCTAGGCCATGGCCACAGCAGAGCCCAGCCAAGGCAAGGCAGGGCAGTTAAGGAAAGGAAAGGGAAAATTCTATTTTCTTTTTGTGGAACTGCTATCTCTCTCTGCCTTCATCATGAAGTGACCTGCCTCTCTCTTTTTCTTTCTCAAACCAGGACCAGCTGAAAGGGGACGATGTGGAGTGCATTGTAACCCAGGACGAGCTAGCCATGAATTACCAGGAGCAAGCCTCCTCACCTTGCAGTCCTCCTGCCAGGCTAGGTCTGGAGCAGAAAGCTTCACCCCAGACTCCAAGCAAGGAAAACATTTATGAGGGAGACCTCGGCCTAGGAGGCTATGAACTCAAGCTTGAGCAGACTCCAGGTCAATCCCAGATGAATTAATTGGCATGAGTGCAGATGTCATGACCGTAATACAAGGATGCAGGGTAAGGGAGACACTGGAAAACGTACTAAGCATAGATTGGAGAGAAGCAAGACTGTCACGTGTATCCTCTGGTACCTGCAGAAATGAAAACTTATTGTCATCTCTGTATTACAACTGAATTGAATTATTTACAGTCACCATTTTTATTACTGGATTGGGTGGGGGGCAGGGGGAGTCAGGGTCAAGTTGCTGTCAGGATGAACCGGAAGTGCTTTGCTCTATTGGGGGGGGGGGAGTTCCGGTTCCAGGGCAGCTCTCCAGGACATTCACTTGGATTTTGGGTTTTATTCTCTTCATTAGGGAGACTTTAAAAATCAGAAAAATCAAGCTTTTAAGTGTAACCATGCAGTGCCTAAGCTGAACCCTTGTGCAATTGTTTAGTAAGTGGTAAGTTTTATATTTTTAAGGCTTGACTCACACTTGTTCTAAATGACCCCAAGGTTATGTGCAAAGCCTGGTAAGTGCTCAACACCCACTGTTGATGGCCTCCCAGAACCCATGTGAGTCGGGGCCCTCTTATTCTTGCTGGCATCCTCTCCACTCTCCTTCTCCCATTGGTCCAAGAGCCTGCTTGCAGTTGGGTGCACCTATGCTAAACACAGGGGAGCTTTCCAGCCAGTAAGGACCCCTTCTGGGGAAAGCTGCTTTCTTTTCTACATACCACATTTCATCTGAAGAAGGAGCCTGTCTTCCTTGCTTGCATTAGAGCCTCTTCTTGGCTTTGCATCAGGTCCCCTCAATGCTGGGGAGCAAGATTCCACAACACACATTGCTCTTCACATGCAAGAGACTGAGCAGGGGCTGGACCTGTCCCCATTGCAGCAAGTACAGCTGAGTAGCAGCACAGGAACAGGGCTGTGTGAGTCACACTGAGAAGGCAAGGACAAGCAGCAGGACTCCCCCTCTCAAGGTGTGGCTCAGTGGCCCACGCTGGAGAGACCAACACAGTAGCTTTGAATTCAGCTATATGCCCTGTGCCTTGAAGCCATAGATACCTCAGCCTCACTTCGCCTGAAACACAGGTTATTAGATTCCAAAGAGCAGGCTCCAGACTCAGGTGCCCAGGCTATGACAGGTCAGCCTTTGAGGGAGGTGGGGAGTAACTTCTTCCTTAAACCCAAAGTTTAATGCATGCTTTGCTGACTGCTGACCACTTGTTAGGCCTTAAACTTTCACCATGAGTTGTCAGGTATGCTACTGTACTTATCCATTTTCTTGCTTTCCAAATAGTAGAATCTGGAATATAAACTGTTTTATACTCAACTAAGAGTAATCTTGTCTTTCCAAGTAAACATGGCAGAAAGGGAAGCATGAAATTTTCTCATTTAACTTAATCCTAATAAAATTTTGTTATAAAGTATGACTGTGTTGGCTAATGCTTTATTTAAAGACAGCTTCTCTGTTCAGAGTAACTGGTAGACCTAAAGTTTTGTACTCAGAGTGCTAGATGAACATAAGGAGGATGCAAAGGCCCTGGGGCCCAAGAACAGCCAGAGGAGCTGGCACAACAAGCCACTGAAGGAATGAAGCAAGTGGTATTGGGCAGGAGGATGTCCCAGAGAAGGGAAACTGAGTCAAGCAGAATGAAACAGCCTCTCCCTTTCCCACTGAAAGTGACCAGAACTTATGAAGAGTTACAAAGATGAGGAGAGGAGACTCTAAATGAGGAAAGAAAGGCAGAAGATAAGGTGACAAGGACAGCTGAGAACAATGTGTTTCGTGTGTCTGAAGAAAGACAAGTGGGCAAGAGAAAAGCCCCCCACCCCCAAAGGCAGCATTAATGGGAGCAGAAGGGAAGGGGAACGTGACTGGCCAGATGGAAATGAGATAAAGTGCTAAGAGGGCGTAGCAAAAATAAGTGTGCCTCTAAGACAAAGACCTCTTCCTGCTTAAAAACACAAGTGCTTTCCAACTGAGCATCTTGAATTTCTGGAACAAGGAGAGCTGGGTACCGCTTACCGGGCTGACTGCAGGTATGTACAATGTTGTGAGTGAGGAAATCGGGCCCATTCAACCTGACAGACAGTATGCCAGCATCAAGATGTGATTACCAGCCTTCTTCCTGAAGAATGATTCTTCTTAATCATCCCAAGACCCCATCACAGGCTGGTGTCCCAGTCAGCAATTCATGAAACCAAATTCCCTTTATGCTCCTGTTGTGAAGGATAATATTTATGATCTGAAGAAATGCTCTGTGCTTTGATAGCAGCCTTGGGACTGTGAAATAAAAATCTATTATTTACTGCCAACTTCTAATGAATAATAAAAGCCAAAGAGCTTTATTCAAACTACTAATATTTCCACTCATTATGAGAGCGTTAAACAGGACTCTAATTAATTAGCTGACTTGAGGTCTTCCTTCAATTTCTTATGATGTGCACATCACACAGACATCCTGGGAGTGCACACGCACACACGCACGCAGACCTCCACTCACCATCAGGGACCTGGCGAGCGCCTCTGTGGGGTCTCCCTTGACACTTATGCATGTCTGAGCAGGTCTGGAGCCAGGCAGCAAGTGCCATCAGAGTTTTTAAGTCATAAAATTTCTAGAAACTTCCTGGGGAGCAATTTAACAATATAAATCAAGGTTGAAATTTTAACTATCCTTTGACCCACCAACTTCACGTGCAGAACTTGTCTTCTAGACATGTGAGAAATTGTGCATATTTAAAGCATTTATTAAGACAATTGAATTGCCAGTCTGGTTAAGTAAGTTATGATGCAGCCATTTTGCAAAACAACATCACGTACACTGCTATGGAATGAGTTCCAAGGAAGATTGTTAAATCGGCAAGGTGCAGACTAGAGTACAGGTAGAACTGGTTGCCTCTTACAGACTTGAAGGAGACAAAGTGTCACTTGTCCCTTTTTAGCTTTGTACACTTCATACGCACTATTTCTTCAAAACCAAATTGAGTCGTAATAATAAGATGACAAAATTATAAAATAATGTAATGAGTTCCAAAATAATTCCTTCCAAGAACTGACCTGCCATAGGAGATGGAGTAAAAGGCTATTTTTTTTCACCATAATCTTTTTTGAGACTTTAAGAGTACAAATACATACCAGCAGTCCCACGAGTTTCCAGGTTTACTCATTTATGCCGGTCAACACAGATGCATGCATACGCTAAGAGGCCTTGAAATTCCGTGGTAAGTAATCATCGCCATCCAACGTGGAGCAGAGGGCAGCTGAACAATGATTTTCCATTAGATACAATAAATTCGCTTCCATGCCTAACAATACTACCTCTCTGCACAGGAGAAAATGAAAATAACTAACTCACTGCGATACTGGCCCAGAAACAGAAATGAGACCAAGAAAATCTAGTATGAGGTACAAAACCAGACCCGTGTATATATTTAGAAATTTAGTTCCTAGAAAAATGCTGTTTCAATTTTTCTAAACTGATTGGTTTTGTTTAGAAAAAAAAAAGGAAGAAAAATAGATAATATCCTTTAACATATCTAAGGTTAAATTCCAAGCAATTTAAATAGCTTAACATGAAAACAAAACTAAGGGATACCAGTAAATAACTTAAAAAAATGTTAATAATCATGGAATATGGACAATCTTCCTAAGAAAAACACAGACTAAAAAAATAAGAAATTTGACTACTTAAAATATGAAACTTCTCATATTAAAAGACACAATGAAATGAATTTTAAAATGAGAAAAAACTGGAAGAAAAAATTATTTATTTATTATGGTACTAATGTTGAACTCAGGGCCTTGTGCTTGCTAGGCAGGTACCCTACCACTCGAGCCACACCCCGCCCTACAAAGAACTCTTACAAATGAACAAGAAAAGAGAAAAATGAAACCTACCAGGGAGTGAGCATGGGAACTCATGTCTATAATTCCAGCTACTCAGGAGGCAGAGTTGGATAGAACATAGAGTGAGGCCCGCTCACCTCAATTAATAATCTGAGCATGGTGTCACATATCTGTAATCCCAGCTACATGGGAGGTAGAGTTAGGAGGATCTTGGTCTGAGGTTAGCCCTGGGGAAAAAAGGATGAGACTGTATCTGAAAGAAAACTGTATCTAAAAGCAAAACAAGAGGTGGGGACATGGCTCAAGTGGTAGAGCACCTGCCTAGCAAGCACGAGGCCTTGAGTGCAAACCCCAGTACCACCAAAAAATAATGACATATATAAATATATACACATATAAGTATGTATATATATTTTGTATGCATATGTATTCTGTTTATTATATACATATATATGAAACTTCTTATGATAGAAGACACAATAAAAATTTTCAAATGAGAAATAAACTAGGAGAAAAATACATATGCAAATAATATATGCGTAAGTATATACATATGTATGTGTTATATATATTCTTTTTGGATATGTATATGAATTAGACTAAGTATTATTCTTAAGAATATACAAAGTACTCTTACCAATGCTTAGAAAAAGATTAAAAATTACAAAATTATGCCAAGCCCGCACAGAATTAAATATGTACACCTTCTATACAGAATTTCTACTTTTGGTATATGCATGGAAAATAAAGGCTTGGCACTTATGCATAAGGAGTTATATAAAATGATATTCATTGTGGCATTATTTATTATTGAAAATATCTGTCAAAAACAGAAGAGTGAACTGAGATACACCAATCCTGTGGTAGTGGGTACGCCACAGCACTCTCACTCTGTGTAGACTGAGTCTAACTCAGATGGAAATGTTTCCAAGATATATTGTCAGTGAACTGAAATGACAGCAAACTGACAACCAAAAGGGAGTTGGGATTAGGAGGGCTGGATCAAAGAGAACCTCTTGGTTTGTCTGTAGGATTGTTTAATTTTTATAATCATACAATAATCATGATTTCCCTGTTTACTGAAATCAATGTAAAAGGATGAAAAATATAAGTGAGTAAAGTAATATACATAACCTTGCTGACTTCTGTCTGAGATAAGGAGGAGCCATAAAAGAAAATGTAGAAAAAAGTAGCCTTGCCTTCCAGACAAGAGAGGGAAGCATGGTCAAGAAAGACTTCAAAGAAATGCTTAAATTGATCAAGGTCTGGAAAGACGAGAGACTTTTCCCAAGCAGACTGGCCTGATTGGCTCTGGCCCATGGTGTAGAGGAAGGCTAGGTGTCTGG